AAGAAAGATAATATATACACTTGGGTGATGCTTAGGAAAGTGATTAATCTGTAAACTATCAAAATCCAACTAAAGGTAAGATTATACTTTTGTTCAAAAAAAATAAAAATAAAAATAAAAAATGATTATACTTATATGCATACATGAAAAAGAGAGTCGTTTTCAATATTTCTTTTTTGGGAAGGTTAGTAAATGAAAATTGAAGAACTTGTTTTTGTCAGATTTTCTTGATTTTATTAAAATGGGTAATTGAGGATATTTTGTTATATCTTCATTAAGATATTTTCTTCTTTTTAGATTAAGATATTATGTTTAATATGGGATTGCACTTTTCGAATTGATGTCCAAATTGTGCATTTTAAGTTTCAATTAATAATTCTCATATTTCAAATAATTACACATATAATTGGTATGTAGAAGTTTCTAAAACAATCAATTATTTTATAATTTTTTTCCCAACCTAGGTTAGAAAATAGTGAGGATTTGTAACTTCTGCACAACACTGGCTAATTTACAAAGTCTAGCGTTGTTTAAGTTATTTTCTCTATGTTGTAAAGAAATATAAAGGGTGCGTGTTGTAAATTTATTTTAACTAATTTTAAAAAGCAAGCCCATGTTTATAACCTAGATAAGCATCATATATTTATCTAGGGTAGGTATTTTAGTACATTCAAATATGCGTTCAGGGGTATATATGTAATTGTAGTTCTCTTTCCTCTATCCTATGTATGTGAGATGTAGTGTTTTATTAAGTAAAGTAACGATGTTAAGTTAAGTCAAGTAACGCCGTCTACTTTACATTCCTGATGCTAGTTGAACAAAAAGCAAAGGAATTAGTTTTTTTTTTATTTTTTTTATTGACATTGCACGAATACCAACACAATTTATTACAGTATTGCCATTAGATAAACGTTAATTATTGTTTATTTAGGCGAGAAATTTAGATTTTCTCTATTTTAAATAAATATTTAAAAAAAATTAATTTATGATAAGTTTAAATTAGCATAGATGGATAAGAAAATTAAATATACTTTCTTAAAAATAAAATTCATATACTAATTATAATTCAAATTAAGTTAAATAGAACACACACATACTAAGAATTAATGTAGTATTATTGTAGTACGTAGAGTTATGTATGTATACAATTAAACTAGTATAAAAACATTTTACTTCGTAACATTTACTTACAATAAATTATTAGAAATATGTGGTTAAAACAATGTCTGAATATAAAATAATGAAAAGTGTCACAATTATATTGTACTGCCTCTGTTTTAGAACAATTTATACAGTTTGACCAGTATATATTAATGATAATTATAAATATTGTTGTTAATAAAAATATGTATTTATTGATAGTAATTAATTATTTTACCTGATAATATTCACGTTTTAATTATTAGTAAAGAGTATAATCAAAATTATCATGTGAATAGTAAAATATTAATTAAATTCTATTAATTATTTTGGAATAGAGAAAATACTAAATACGAGAATACGACTTCTTAATAAACTAGTAAAGAGTATGAGCTAGAAGAAGAATAATAAAGTAATTGACAAACAAAACTTGATTGTAGCTAATGAATGGATGCAAAGAAGAGAGACAACAAGAAGTCCTTGCAAAGTTTATGTTGTCTTATTCCATCACTTGTTCGTATTATGGCCCATATTGCTTGATACCGTCAGCTAGATATTAGGATTGGTCTAATTTTTATTTATTTAATTAAAGAGTATGAATTTTTTGGGAGTCACACATTATTTTTAGGCTACCAATTATAAGTGGCATAGTGGGATGAATTTAACCATAACGTTCAGTGGCGGAGCCACATTAGAACAAGGGGGGACAGTTGTCCCCCCATTTTCGGAAAAAAAGTTTTTTTTTAAAAAAAAAAAATCAAGAAAATACAGTAAAAGGCTATAAATAACATATACTTACAGTAGATATCACAATATTGAATATGGTTTGGTGGTTGAGTCCTTAGTAAGGTTGTGTTTTGGTCCTAGGTTCGATTCCCTACTCTACTGTTTTTCAGCTTTTTTGTTTTTTTTTTCCCCTACTTCTTGTTTTTTTTATTACATACTCTAATTTTCAACAACCTTTTTAATTTGATTTTTTATTTCCTATTTCTTGTTTTAGGATTTTTAATGTTATTTCTTATTTCCTACTTCTTGTTTTTAATTATCACTTAACTAAGTGTGCTTAAACTCAATTTTTTTTTACATTTCTAATAAATAGATTACTATTAATTAATTGTTTGTAACTGTGTTTTAACGAAATACATATTAATAATATGATTGATTTGAAAAAGTTGAGTTTATTTTTTCGAATGTAACTCAAACCCTGGCCCTTCATATCTACCATCAATTTGTTTTAACGATAATTATTTGACTTTATGATAAGGTAATTAATTCGTATTTATCAATTATGTGATTACATAACAGGATTTACAAATATAAATTTATTCATTTTTGTTGGATAATTTTCTTAATATACAATAAAACTTTTTTACCCCTCTTTTTCCATATAGAAATAATTGGCATATGTGATTTCAAATAAATATTAAACAATTTAGGTTATCAATTTTTTTCTTGAGATTTTTGCCGAAACTTTAACCTCCAAAATTTGTCCCCCCGAATTATAAATCCTGGCTCCGCCACTGATAACGTTGGTGGGTCGTATTCACACATGCGAATCTTCATTATTTTAATCATATTGCTCATGTGAAAAATTTAATTTTTTTTCTCCTAATTTTATATCTAGGAATTCAATTACTCAATTACCATTGTTAGACTTACCCAAAGAAGGATAAGCTCTCCACATGTATAGATGAAAATTACAAAGTATAATATTATTTGTTTTATTTATATTGAGGATTAAAGAATAATATGAAGTGATATGATGTAAAATTCATATTTTTGAAAGGCAAATGGTGTATATATATAGTAAATGAGAACATGCGGAATGGCTGATTATTCAAATTTGATGGATGTAAAAAACAATTAAAAAACTGACTTGGTAAAGGTGCACTTACGTAACTAACTTAAGACCCAATTTTTACCAAAGAGGATGGCCCGAAATTAAAATTAATGCCGAGTTAAATAGATACAAACCCTGCATGACATTAGCTAGATTAAAAGTCATGAAATAACATTAGTTGAATCTACTTGACAAAATAAGAATTAAATAGAATGATTCGAATCAGACTCGACAGTAAAAAGGCATGAAGAAAACTTGTATCTAATTAATGTGACTATGTGAATAAATAAAATTGATAGGGGTTAGAAATATTTACAAAAATTTAAATATTTAAATTTCATTGCCTGAAGTCTTTTGTAAATTGTAAAATTGTAATTGAAAGGTTGCTCTTTTAATATAAAAGAACTTATCATTGCAATACACTATAAATTAATAATTAATCATCTTATAAATTTTTCCACGCTCAATTTTTAATTTTAGTGTTGATCCAACTTGATCGGTAAAATGATTTGACCTAGCATAGCCCGATCCAGTACTATCCATGGTTATATATTTTTTTTTAAATGGTAAGGAGAAGGCCCATCTTAGTTTGGTGAGATTCGACCCCTGATCTCACACCTGAAAGTCAAAAAATTAGCCAACTGCTTTAGCCTCGTGATAATATAATTTGTACCAAATACAATAAAAAAAAAACTAAAAACTTAAAATGGATTTACTAACATGTTACATTCTCAACTATACAACCTATTTGCCACATTTTGCATAAATAAAATGTAAAATATAAAAGATGTTACATACGAAGTATAACTTTTTTTTTTTTTTTTTTTTTTTTTTTTTTTTTTTTTTTTTGGGTAAGAACATGTAAGATTTAGGTAAGGGAAAAATGTATCCAAATTCTAATGCTGTAAAGATCATACAAAATAAAATTATTTATGTTTTTTTCCATTATGTTGCGATCCCATTTTCATTGATTTTTGAAGGTATCTTTTAATAACGAAAGCAAAAAAAAATAAAAACAATACATTGTTTGGGGGAACGAATGAACCCATTTGTCATTCTATAATTAGATCACACTATGAATGACACGTTGATCTTGAGCTATTAAGGAGAAAACAAATTACAATCAAGTGAATATAAGCCTTCTTTGAGTGTAAATAACGACGTAAGAGCAATGACGTAGATGGAATTTAATTTCTGATTTTAAATACCACCTTTTAATTAATAACACTTTAACCAACTAAATTAGTTGACATCCAGAATATTTACCCCACACCTTGTACACTTTTTGATTTGATTAATTTATACAATTAGATATTATTACAACATGTATCTCACACATTTTACAATTAATTCCCTTGTAAAAAGGTCTAAAATGTGAAGACTTGACTAAGATATGCATTTGACAGTCTCACATAGAGCTAAATAGCAGTTAGCAAAAGGCTAATGAGGTTGAAATTTGTATGTTAAACGTGGGAAATGGACTCTTCAAGTCTTATTGTTAAGGTAGTAGTCGTTTTCCTAGTGCTTTCCTTAGAGTATAATGTCCTTATCAAACATCATATATATCATAAAATAGAAGAATATACTTTTATTTTTACTCTATTTTGTTTGAAATTTGACACAGTAGATGGGCTTTGGTTAAACAACAACAACTAATTACAATTCTTTCTTCTTTTATTTAATAGTTTAAATTTATTTATTTTAGCAAGAGGTAAATATAGCTCACAAGATACTCATTTATTACACCAACTTGGATAAAGTTCACTTTATTACATTATTATAAGTAATAAAGCGATTACTTTTGCGGTAAATGCGCGGATGTGTCATCTTAAGTTCAGACGTACATTTTACGCTAAGTAAATATACAAAGTATCCTCTACAATTACTTATCAAAGTCATTTAAGATACAGACGATGAGGATTTCCCGGACCTTTTTCTGTATACGCGTCTACCAGATTATTAACCTTCATTATCATACTAACAAAATTAATTACTAATCTCCATAAAAAGAGATGAAATGATTCTAGTCAAATTAAGAAAGAAAAGTTGAAGTAGAGGATAGAGATAGAAGGTTGAAACAATCTACCCAAGAGAGAGTTGCGTTACAATTCACGTTTCTTTCTTCGTCTCAAAAAACCTGTATTTAAGGGTGTTTTGTTGTGCTACCATACCTCTTTTCTTAATACCTTTGCCATTTCCTAAATCACCAAAAAATAAAAAATAAAAATTATCAAAGGTTTTATTCTACTCCTTAATTTCTTAAACTCTTTTCTTATTATTTCCTCTGTTTTCCCCTGAATTTACTTTGCTATAGTTTCTTGTTTATACAAATTTTTCCATTATTTAAACTTATTTCATGCCATTTTTTAATTGAAAACACATAACTAAAACATTTTTGTGGGTTTTCTTATTGGTTTTAAAGGGTTTTTGTAGCATTGTTTAGCGAAATGGAGATGGATAATTATTCAACGATTACTATAGAAGATGAAAACATGGAACTACCACCCGGCTTTCGCTTTCACCCTACCGACGAAGAGCTGATCACCCATTACTTATCAGAGAAAGTCCTTGACAGCAACTTCAGCACAATCGCGATCGGAGAAGCAGATTTGAACAAGATTGAACCATGGGATTTACCAAGTGAGTATACAAGAACAATCTCTTAAGATTTCTTTATTTTTTTGGTACCATTTATGATATAAATGCTTGTTTTGGTGTTAACAAAGATGTTGTATTAATTCAAATGGGTTTTGTATTGATCAATCAGGTCAAGCAAAAATGGGGGAGAAAGAATGGTACTTCTTTGTTGTTCGTGATCGAAAATACCCAACTGGACTAAGAACAAACCGAGCAACCGAGGCCGGTTACTGGAAAGCCACCGGAAAAGATAAGGAGATTTTTAAGGCGAAAGTTCTTGTTGGTATGAAGAAAACCCTGGTTTTCTACACAGGAAGAGCTCCTAAGGGTGAAAAAACCAATTGGGTCATGCATGAATATCGATTAGAAGGAAAATTGTCCAAGTACAATCTCCCTAAAAATGCTAAGGTAATCAAGAAACAAAAAAGCATTCCTCTAATTTCCCCTGTTTTTCATGATTTGAAATAAAAAAAAAAAAAAAATTCAAGTCTATTTTGGAGTATTTGATACGGGTACTAAAATGAAGTAACAAGTTCGTAAACTTTTTACATTCGATATTTTTCAACCTTTACATGTTGATTGAGTAAAACTAAACTTTTTTTTTCGACATTTTGTTTGAATCTCAGAATGACTGGGTGATCTCCCGTGTATTCAAGAAGAATTCGGGTGCAAAGAAGCCGGATTACATGGAGGTGGTGAGTCTAGAGGAGTTACAGCCAAATTTCCTGCCACCATTGATGGATTCATCACCTTACAACAATGGTGAGACAAAGGCCGTGGATGCCAACCCATCTCACGTGACCTGCTTCTCCCACCCATCTATGGTTGAGAATCAACAATTCAAACTAACAAAGCAAGAGGAAACTACTACTAACATGTTTAACAACATCCCTTGCTCCCCTCTATTTCGAACCTACTCCAGAACCTCGCTTACTAACATGTTATCAGAGCCAGAAATGCCCGACTTTCAATTCGTTGATTCATTGTTTAACCAAGATCAACCCATGATGAAGCTGCTACTCGAAGGCAAAGAATCCAACCCTACTAAAGAAGAATTACCTGGCATTGATATGTCTTCATCTGGTATTTCAAATCATGATATTGTTAATAATAATCAAATTGGTCCATTCGACCATGATTGTTTATGGGATTATTGAACAATTAGAGATTATTTGGCATAAATTATTGGGATGGGAAAAACATAAGTATTCAAATCAAAAACTAGTCTTATGTGTAGTTTTAATAACTAGAAAGTGGTAAAATGTAGGTCATTGTAAGTGTATTTTCTATATGTTATAGGAAAAAAACTTGCTCATCTTTTAATCTTCAGCTAATTTATTTGAGATCACTAACTGTAGAAAATAGATTAATATACAATTTACTGCTTACTTTGGCAGGCAAATTTATTATTGTTCAACATTATACAAGTACTTCAATTTTATTGTGTTACAGCTTACAGTATTCACTCGAATAACTGTCACATATTTTTTTTAGTTAACGTGTTTTTTCCTACTGTCCTAGAGTGATTTGAATACTTTTTTAAACGGGAATCATGAACGATATCCGTAAAATGCTTGAAGATGTCTAATTTCTCTAGCTATGTCTTTATTTTTTCTTCTAAATTATTAAATATATAATTGCTAATCTATAGTCCATCTCATCGGAATAAATCAACCTATTATTTTAATTAATTATTAAAAAAATACCGCTAATTAAATTAGCAATTAACAGAGGTAAACCACTAACTAAAATTATTTATACATAGTAGAAGTAAAAAAAAAGATGATTCTATTAAAACTAGAGGTTTACTTTTGTGTTCAATTAGCGGTTTTATTTTGGACAAAATTGTCATTTTAATCGGCTGTTTGGTCGAAGGTAAAACCGCTATTTTAATTAGTGGTTTAACTTGAATCGGTAAATAAACAAAACGGTATTTACAACTGATGGTATGAATGGTAGATTGAAAATTATGTTAAATAGGGGCATGATTAGGGAAACTTGACACCTTATACTAGTATTTTCTATTTTCTTTAATATTCAAGAGAAATTAAAAGGGTGTTGTGTTGGGTGTACCCATATTTCATCATACTAAATAAACAAGTGTCAAACACATTGACACATATCCTCAATTTAATGGCTAATAAATAATTAGTGCACAATTAGCTAATTAGCCAATTTGAAAAGTTAATATTTTAATTTCAACGAGTAACTTGGGTTAAATTGATTTTAATTGCAGTCTATAAACGTGATTTGGTTGATTAGTTAGTGACAAACACCATCTTTTCTGGCCTTTAGCTAGCAATGGATCAATCAATCAGTTAAAAATTACGGCGTGTTAGGCCAACAACCGCCAACCGGTGAAGTGAGTTCATTGCAAAATTTTCGATTGTACATAGGCTTAGGAGTGTGGCTTTTTCACACAGCTATGACTGCGCAAATCTGATATCATAGTATTTGTTAGATATGGGTTTAAGTCGCAACTATTGTCAAGAGAGATAATTCACTTCACAAGTTCAATATATTCTCTCCCAAAACTACATATGGGCATATGATAGTAAGACTAGTGGCTTTTTTAGTCTTATAAGGTGTTCAACTACTTTATCTTTCTTTATCAATATGGGACACTTACATGTGTTGTTTGAAAAAGGTAAGCTTCAACAACATTTTATCGGTTGTTAAGATAGGATTGTTCATTGGTTTTTTTTTTTTTTTTTTTTTTTGTCAATCCGCATATATAACCCAAGCGGGCGGAACCACAGTTTAGGCTCTGGTAATGGCCTTCGGAATTTTCCCCTCGTCTCTCCTCCATTTGTTAGTTGGTAACAGAGCTAGATTTGATCACACGTTCTGATAGGGATTGTCTAAGTTAGACCTTATGCAGATACAGTCATTTGTCAATGTCACCTTGTCTTAGAGTTAGGCTCTGAAGGGACTGGGTGCGTTTTCGTTCAAAGGGGAGTGTATAGGCTTACACTTGAGGGGTGATTCTTAATTGCAAGTGTGAGTGTTATTTGTCCCACTTTAAAAAATAAAACAAAAGCCTTTTAGTTTATAATTCAAGCGGGATATTCCTCCTATTGCCAATTGGTTTTAAGATGGAATCTCACTTTGAGTTTTGATAGTGGGCTTCTCTCTTTGTCTTGGGTATGTATGGACAAGGTGTAGAGATAGAGGATTCATTAGGTGCACGTACTTGCAATAGGATCAACTTCCACTTTAATTTTTTAATACCATGTTTAAATTCTATTAGCTTATGTCAATAATTAACACTGCCTTTTTTTTTCATAGATAAGATACATAAGCTACAGGGACCCCTATTATTGGGAATCCTGCAAGTATTTGAATGACACCCTATGTCAAGGATAGTCTAATCTTATTAATTAGGTATCCATAACAAAAATGAAATTTTAGAAGTTTATTTTTGGTAGATTTATCAATGGAATATGATTTTTTATATACTTTTTCCCTTTATATTAGTTAATTCCTCCTCAAATTTACTAGATTTATCAATGGAATATGGTGGTGGTCGTGGTGGTGGTGGCGTGTGAATAAACCAGCGCAGCAGCAATAGCTTTGTGGTGGTGCTGGGGGTTATGTGAAGCAACAACAGTAGCAATGGCGACCGGCAACAGTAGCAGTGGTGTTAGAGTGCTTGCGTTCGAAGGAAAAGTTTCAGTGAGAAAGAGAGAGTGAAAGAGTGCGAAAGGGAGCGAAACAGAGGGAAAGAGAAACCGGGGGGAGGGGGGTTGTTAATTAGAGAAGCCTGCTTTTGTTTATTTATTTATTTTCATTTTAAATAATGGCAGCGGTTCAATTGCTTCCAATTACAATATTGGAAGCGGTTCACCCAAAACCGCTCCCCATTTGTATATTTCAGTTTTTTTTTTTGGTGAGTTTTTGTGGGTTTTAGGAAACGGATTTTAATAACCGTTGTCCATTTGGGGCAGCTCAATTGTGTTTTTCTACTAGTGTTCCTCCTCAAATTCACTAGATTTATCAATGGAATATGGTTTTTTTATGAGAATGTTTAAGACAAGATGAAACAAAGAGTGCAAGATGTTATTAGTGAAGGAGCATGTTTTTCTAGAGTCTATGATTAATTTTATCAAGCATTTTGCAAATTCATAAATAGGGTACATGCTCAAATTAAAAACCAGTCCAAACTGAAAAATGGACCAGATCGACTAGATTGACAAGAATTGATTTATTCTCTAAGTTGAAAATTTTAACTTGTCACTCTTCGGTCTAGTCTAATTTAAAATATGTCTTGTACCAAACCGTGTTTTTTTAAAATTATGCATAAGAACCTTTGCAGTGATTAATTTTCTCCTTTAATACATTTGAAATATGTTTGCGCTTGAGTGTGTTTATATTAGGATTATAAAAAAAGGTACAAGAATTTGTTTCCTTGGTCATAATATAGGGGTAAGTTAGGCCTTATTCTTTCACCTTATGTCTATTTTTTATATAACGGTTGATTAGTTTGAAAACTTAACAAAGAGGAAGTTCAAGAAAATCTAAATTAAATGTAAATTATTATTATAGGTAAAATAAATTTTAATGAGTACAAAAGATATACTTAGTCTCAAATAAGTTTAGTAATTAAGTTAATACGTTCAATTTGTATTTGTGAAAAACCTAGTGTATACCTTTAATTTAAACAACCACACATAAAGTTAGTATTTGTAAAGATTTGTATGATAATTGAATCTTTACAACACCTTCAATACACCTTGTGAATTCTAAAGTTTAGAAGGGTACTTAAAGTGTTGCTAAACAACATGAGAACTCGGTGGTAAATTCCTTAGTTAAGAGAATTGAAAGTGCCGTTAGTATTCAACACGAGGGATTGAATTGTGTACGATAACAATTTGTGTGCTTTTTTGAAAAAAGTTCTCAATTTTATAAAGGACCCATAGAAACTGGTTTTGCACAGCGGAAATAGTTAAATAATGAAACCAATAAAGAACACCATAATTTACCAAGATTCGACTTAACTCAAAGTCTATGTCCTCCCTACCTAATTAATCTTGTTAATCTCCTCCAAAAAATAAACGAAGTTACAATTATTGTTTGCCTATTCGAGTCAAATAATCTCCCACACGGCCACACCTAACCCTAGATGTGTAATGTTTCGCACTTAACCTCATAAGCCCTCGTAATTGAACTCACAAATGCTACCCAACCTTTAAACCCACAGTGATTCAATTACATACACACAAGCTCTCTTCAATAATGCTTTCTCACAATGCTTAGGTAAGAGACAATGAAAATCTTACCAATCTATGCACTACAACCTTTAAACCCACAGTGATTCAATTACATACACACAAGCTCTCTTCAATAATGCTTTCTCACAATGCTTAGGTAAGAGACAATGAAAATCTTACCAATCTATGCACTACAAGTGTATAAATTAACGAGCTGTTTCCCATGAGTATTTGAGCTTTATTGAAGAGAACTTGCTATTATGTGAAATAGTAATGGTTGGGAGATTAATTATTTCGTGACATAGAAAATCATATGTTAGGGCAAAGATACTTTCCATAATACACAATCTGCACAATGGAAAGTATGTAACTAGTATATTATTCTATTTTCATAAATTGACTAGAATAATATCCTAAGATATATGTGAAATAATATATCTTCCTAATTTGCATAATTACGAACTCCTTAGTCAGTGAATATTTCCCTTGCTAAAAATATATTGAGGAAAGAATTCTTATTCTTTGGAAAGTCTGAATATTTGCCAACTAATAAACCACGTTAAGCAAACATAATTTTTATTTTGTTTCCTTAACTAACTTGTCAATATCCTGAGTACTGGCTCAACTGTTCCTACTAGTATCACAACATTTAACTCCTTAATAGAAAACAATTCACCAATTTAATTAACTATTCATGCACCACACTTGCAAACAACCTAACTAGACTAAATATGACAAAGAGCTATCCTAGTTATTTTCTTTGGCTATTTCACCAAATGCCATTGAGCACTTTAATAATTCACCAAATGCCACCGAGTTTTTAAAAAATTCACCCGATTGCCATTAATAACTAATGGCCGTTAACTCCGTTAGTCATTAGGGTTTAATCATGACACGTGTCATGATATGATTGGTTCAATTTAAAAAAATCTTAATTTTTTTTAAATTCCTAACCTTAACCCAACCCCACCACCAACACTGCCGATGTCGGCAGCCTAACCCCAGCCGCCGGTACTCCCTGCCCCACCTTCACCGTCGAAACTAGCCGAACCACCACCCCTAAAACCAGCGACTTAGCGCCTTTCGCTTTTTCCCCTCACGAAAAAACACCCAGCATTTTCCGACCACCGTGC